AGCCCCGTCCTCTCCGAGGGGGCCGGCCCCCCGGGTTACCTCATGCAGGCCGGACTACGGGAGAGCAAAACCCCAGCAGTGGTACCTGCCCGCCTCTCCCTGCTGCTCCACCCCCCGCCCCTTGGCAGACGAAACACCAAGGGCTCCACGGTGCTATGCCTCCAAGAGGACAGACAGGTCCTTCCGCAGGACCATGGGCCGGGGGCTGCAGGGAGATCCCTGGCAGGAACTGGAGCCCCCTGCCCCGGCTGAGCTGAGCCTCACATTGAAATGGACAAACCGGTGCTTCCAAATGAGCAGAGAGCTGGCTGGGGCAGCCCCCCCAGGAACCAAACACCAAGGGCTCCACGGTGCTATGCCTCCAAGAGGACAGACAGGTCCTTCCGCAGGACCATGGGCCGGGGGCTGCAGGGAGATCCCTGGCAGGAACTGGAGCCCCCTGCCCCGGCTGAGCTGAGCCTCACATTGAAATGGACAAACCGGTGCTTCCAAATGAGCAGAGAGCTGGCTGGGGCAGCCCCCCCAGGAACCGGGGTGGCCCCCCAACCCCGCTGCCAGTGCATTACCTGGCTTGGCTGGAGCGTTACCCGGAGCGTGCTGGGGGGGCGGGGGGTAAGAGGGCTTTGTGTGGAAGTGGAAAAATGGGAACCGGGGGCCAGCCAGAGGCAGAGTGAGAGAGGAGCTGCCGGCCCCAGGCTGGACTCCACTGGGAGCAGGCCTCCTCCGCGGGGGACAGGGCCCCTAGGGGAAGAGTCCCCCCGCACAGACTGCAGGGAGGGAGCACCATCCGCGGCTTGGGCTCCGGCTGCTCCCCACTTCCCCAATGACCGTGCTGCCTAAACGTGCACCCCATTGCTCCTAGAGAGAGCAGGAAAGCTGAGTTCCTGCTGCATTAGCATCCCCCCACTGCGCCCCCATGCCCTTGGTGAGCAGCGGCTCAGGGAGGGGTCGGGCTGAGCCCGTGGGGAAACAGCCCAACCGTAACTTTGCCCGGCAACGCTGCCTGAGAGCTGGCGCCGCGGCAAAAGCAGCAATAAGCCACCCTGCTCTGGGCTTTACCGCGGCCGCGCGTCTGCCCTGCTTGGTGAGCAAAGGAAAGCGAAGGGCACCGGGCTAGGCTGGAGCTGCTCAGAGCGCAGCAAACAGCATCCTCGTGGGCCCCAAACTGTTTTCTGGGGGAGGAATAAATCAGCTTGAGAGCCCCCCCCCTTTTTTAAATGCTTTCCCCTCCCAAATTTCCTCAGTATTCTTGGTTTTGCTGGAGGACAGCTAGGTCATTGCAAGAGCCTGGGCGAGTGAAACGCATGTGCTGGGAGGCCCTTTAAAACTCTTGCTTCTATTTATTGTAAGTTCCCATTTAATTCTAACACCTAACAGACCCCTGGGAGAAAAACCTTCTTTGTGAAGTCTCCGCAAGCCCTGGCCGCTCTGGTGAGGGCTGAAAAAGCTGCTACCCAAGTTCTCCAGTCCTCCAAGGAGTTCACCAGCAAAAATAGGGGCAGCAAGGTTATTGCGAATTCTGATTATTCCTCACCAGCCTGCTTGCTCTTGTTGGAAGACAGGATACTGGGCTAGATGGACCAGTGGGTTGACCCAGTGTGGCCATTCTGATGTAGCTATTCCTGAGATTTGTAAGGGGGAAAGCATAAGCAAGGACAAACCCTTCTGGGCCATCTTCATGTATCATAACAACTCAAACCCGCCCTAGTACAGCCTGGCCTGGATACAACATTTTGTAGCTGCAGCCGAACTGCAAGCCACAAAAACGGTCCCCGGATTTGCAGGGCTCTCCAAAAACACCCCCGCTTTTACCCTGTCAACGCCTACACCAAATGGCACTGTATTATCTTACCTGTTACGATTCCGAGGGTCAGGGTAAAGAATCAAAAATTGACAAACCCGCCCTAGTACAGCCTGGCCTGGATACAACATTTTGTAGCTGCAGCCGAACTGCAAGCCACAAAAACGGTCCCCGGATTTGCAGGGCTCTCCAAAAACACCCCCGCTTTTACCCTGTCAACGCCTACACCAAATGGCACTGTATTATCTTACCTGTTACGATTCCGAGGGTCAGGGTAAAGAATCAAAAATTGACGTCTGCTTTCTTCAGCGGGTCCACCTGACCGTGCGTCTTGTAGAATGTTTCTCCCTCCCTGCCCGATACGGTTTCCCGTTTGTGCGTCAGCCCCAGGGACAAGGTGGCAGGCTAAGGGGATTCGTCAAGCCCCCATGTTTGTGGCAGGACCTAGGACACTTATTTGCAACTCGCTTGTTACTCGATCAGCTTTCACGTTGCTGGGATCTGGGTGGGAGGCCGCCCTTGCCCATGGACTCGGCTAGCTGAACTAGGAACTGCAGGGCAAGATGTGGAGAGGGTGCAGCAAGTTAGATCCTGAATGAGAATTTGCTTTCAAATGCATTCTGATGAGGAGCGGCTCTTCCTGTGTCTCAAATGACATCCCTAGCCAGCACTTCCTGTTGGGAAATACCAGTCCAAAGGCCCTGATGGGCCAAGGAGCACTAGAGCAGAGATTGCACCCGTGTTTATTCAACTGCCTGGGGCGGCCAAAAAAAAAAAAAATCTGTTTCTCTGTAGCACCATAGACGTATTTAATCCAGGTGAGTGATTAGTTCTTATTTAAGCCACCACGCTGCTGCTCTTTCGCGGTTTCTGTGGGTCGCCGCTTTTCCCCAGTCGCCCCATGCCGTCGGTGCTAAGCGCTAACATTCCAGTGTGGGAAGCCGTGCTCAGCCCGTGGCCGGGACACTGGTGCCAACGGCCCGGCCGTCTACCCACCATTCCAGCCGCTGAGTCCCGCAGGACTCCTGGCGGCCTCCTGGCCC